CAACACACATTAGGAGAAGCACATACACATAAGAAATACCAATGTATTTCTTATGTGTATCATTGAATCAAAAAAGTATCCATGAATCATTAATTGAGATACAGAAAATAAAGCAATAATTTTCTCATGTTACGCTGACTGAATGCAGAATATCAGTGTTCCCATTTCTGTCTCTTTTTGTTTTCAGTTTAAGAAAGTATATATATATATTCTTTTTTATATATATATTCTTTTTCTGTTGAAGATTTAGGCAATATACATGTTGCTGTGGAGCAGCAACAAAAGAACTTTTATGTCTGTTACCAAACACGTTGGAACGAACAGGCGAAGACCTAAATGCGGACATAAAAAATAAGAAGTGGACCGATAAAAATAAATCCAGACTACACTGACCCGCTCTTAGGACTTTCCCCAAAACAAATGTCACGCTAAATGCAAATAGATCACGGGTGTTCCTATATGTCATCATGTTTCACTTCTTCTTTAGAAGGTCACTTTGTTTTTTAACATTTCAAGTGACAAAAGTCTCCTTTTTTTGGTGTTGTTGTTCTTGAAGGTCATTTACAGATGTGGTACTTCCTGAGAATAATTCTCTGAACATAATTTTTTTTTCAAGTTACAACATTAATAAGTCAATAATATAGATTTAATCCAGAAAATCACTTATATAACAATAGCTTATTAAAAGGTCTGCTTTAAAGAAAGAAAACAAGAAAATATGAGAACATAAAACAATTAACAGAATCCAGAATGCTAGTTTCTGTCATGGCTCAATTAAAGCAGGTAGTTTAAAGTAATTTTCAGTGTGGACACTTTAAACTTGTAGGAATGCATCCATCCTCTGTGTAAACATTAGAATTCTTGACAAACACATAAAAATACAGATCCTCTTACTACGGTGGGACATTTCAGTCTCATGAATAACATCAGTGCCTTTTACTCCTGATACTCACACATCTTCCACTACATGACTACATGTGCACAAACAACGCAACTGTGAACCTTCTTGGCTCCATCCTGCACAGTCACTGTTTGCCTGACTTGACAGTACAGTTTTTATATGTTTGTATTTGTCTGCCTGCAGAAAAACATAATTTTCTTAATAAAACTTTTAGCTATGGGGCGCAATTAAAGTAATATCACCTGAAAAATTCAGGTTTTTACAAACTAAATGTGAATCTTTGACTGACTGCTCATGCAAACTCACTGTCTTTCTGTCTTAACCAGTGGCTCTTTTATATTTAACCCACAGACTGACCAACCGACGTCTGATTACTGGGCCTGCTCCTTGAACCAGGTCACCAGTTTCTCCAGCATCTTGGCATCTGTGGAGATCCAGCTCTATATCTGACTTTTCTGATGATTTTTGAAAGGTTGTTGAATAATCTTCCAATTTCCATCAGTTTCCACATGTCAGGGCAGAGTGTACTTATTCTATTGGCCAACGTTAGTCCTCATCTTTACACACAGAGTATAGTTTTTGTGGATGGTTTTGGACCCAAAGTGTAGATCAACTTCAAGTCTTTTGGTTCCACTGGTTTGTTCAGGAAAAAATCTTCTTTTGTTATTTGTTCTTGCTGTTGTTGTTTGTTTCTTTCTCTCAATCCATTCGTCAAACAAACCTGTGGTGGAGATATGGGAAATACATTTAGATTAAGAATGACCAGCATATGCATATTGTTTGAGTATGTTTAAAGATGATCATTACAATCTTTTGGTAGTACAACAAAATGATTATTAGGTAAGTTGGGTTCTAAGTGGATGCACATAATAGAAATCTCTTGTGGAAAATCTGTTTAAATATTAGTGTGTTTATATATAATTATCCTCCATTACTTACGTAGCTTATGAAAGACAGCAGAAGTGCTATCATTATCACTACGGAGGCGAAAAGAATCAAGTAATCATCTCTCTCCAGACTTTCTGTGGGAGCAGCTGGACAATCTGAAAATGAAAACACAAATTAAAGTTACTCAAGTTTGAACTCACTTGAACTGTACCACACTGTGCTAGCTCAGGTTGTGATCCTAGTCAGGCTATTCTGCATACAGGAAACTCCTGTGTGGCTGGATTTTGTACATTTTTCAAACTTTCATATCAGAAAACTCGAGGTGCACTTTGCTGTAGATATCTAAGGAAACATCCCCTCTTGTTTGGTATCCCAATAAATCTGCTCAGACTTTACCAATGAGTTTTTCTTTGACTTTCTTTGCTAAAATATAGAGCATGGTAAAAGCTGAACATCAGCATTAGCCACCGTAAAAGCCTTTAAAAGCTTTTCCAAAATAAGCTTCTTCTAAACCAGCTTTTGATGGAAATCTAATGCTCTTGATGTTTTCCAAATCATGTGCTTGACAGATGATTCCCACACTCTATGCCTTGGGCCAAAGAGTGATAGTTTTGTAAAGCTGATGCTCAAAATATAACAGTTGATTCAAGTTTGGAAGTTCTCCCTGAGTCAAATTTCAGTCATGGATGCCTCAGGGAACTTGGGAAAGTTTGGGAAACCTGTATGTTGAATTTGCATGAGCACCTAAAGAACCCAGAGACAACTGGGACAAACGTTTACCTGCCAGCACCAGGTGAACGTAGCCGTCCTGGTTTTGCTCTCCCACAGGTGCTGCCAGGTGACACATGTACACGCCGGCGTCACTGCACGTTGTGTCGGCCAGGAGGATGTCGTGGGTCTCGTTGACCAGCGCCACATCTCTCTCCACGCCATCGTACCATCTCGTCGTACCATCTGGGAGGTCTCTGGTCAAAAGGCCATTACGAGCAGACGATGGGCTCTCTGAAACCTGAAAAAGCATCAGTCCAGTGTTAGAGTCATGTGCCTGATGAATGACCAAACAGGATCTGAGACTAGACAGCCAAACCAAACATGCCTGATGTCAGTGTCATTATCACTTCTGTTAATGGAAACAAATGCCACTACTATAAATAGCACTTCTTCTTTTTAACTTTTAACCCATTAACCACAGTTACTGCACACCCCATATTTGAGTTGAACCTTGTAGTTTTAAGCAAAAGCCTAAATATTTAACCAGTTCATAAAAACAAGGATTAAAATAATCACCAGACATGTTTATACTGCCATTCTGACCTTTATACACCATGGCTGAGCAGTGTCTTGTGACCAGCAATAATCTTTATGACAGTATAAGAAATAAATGAATAAACCTTTACTGTTACTTTCACTGCTGCTTTTTACTTTACCCCTACTACTTTTAACATTACTGAAATAGAAGAAAAAGTACATTTTGAGTCGCAGGTAATTCTACTTTAACATTCCTAATTAGACTTTATAGACTAAAGAATTAAGTTGTAAGTATGGCTGCTCTTGTTATTACTGCAGCATACTCATAATGTTACCCAGTTATAGTGCTGTACTTTGTGTTTTCATTGTTATAACCTTTTCATTATGTGATTGACTACAAATATTTTGACTTTCGAAAGAAACGAAAGTGATATTAGTTTGCAGTAATCTGCCAAGGAGAGCCTGACATGTTTTTTTCTTCTTAAATGTGCAGCATGACAATAAAAATAAATTGTATTTGTATTTATTTGGTTATTTAATTTATTTTTTACCTTGTACCATCTCACTGCAAGGTACTGGACTCCGGGCTTGAATTTCGCTTTGCACGGAAGGATAGAGTCTTCACCCGAAAGGACCACGACTTCTGGTGTGTCCTCCTTGACAGCTGCACCCACAGCGAGGCACACGCCTGAGGAATACAAGCATAAGATGTTTCTCAGTACACGTATTTATTTTTCTTTCAATACATATAAACATGCAGCTCTTGGTTACAAACGATACCATACAGCTACTCGAATGTACAAACTCTAATAATATAACGTTCGACTAAAGTAAACTGAAAAGACACTCACCCTGCGAGAAGAGCAGAAGACAGCCAAGGAAATCTGCAGATATCATCTTGTTGACTGAATGTTTAGAAATCGAGAGTGAGGAGAACTGTGCCCTCAGCCTTAAATGGGGTTGTAGTGAGAAGGAAGTGGGGAAGGGAAGGGGCGGGGCGGGGCGGATGAGCGCGAGCTCTCATTGAACTGCTACTCTCGCTTAGTGTAAACCGATAAACAATGAACGCTGTTCCTATCGTCCTGCTATGTAAGTATATTAGAAATGGTCTTGTAATGCATTTTACTGTACGTTTAAGCCAACCCAAGCTCTCAGTACGTTGCGGTGAGGTACCGGTATGTAATATCATTTTTTTAAAGCGACTTTTTATTCAGCTGATTTTGCAACATCGGCATAACAACAACTTCGATTTCGATTAGCATAATCAAGTAAACAACATCCTATGTTTCCAAATCTTATGTTTCGCTTCACCGGAGAAGAAGTAGAGAAAGTTTGTGAAAGTCATTTTAGCATCAGCCGACTTAAAGACCTTAAAGACCCTATAGATCGAACACACGTTTGTCTTTCGTGTAAAATGGCAGCGATAAAGCAATCGATGGGAGTTTGAATCGAGTTTTGTATTATTTTCTGAGAGTTGGCAAAATTGAAGTGTTTTTTGTTCATAACTTATGGTTTGAAATGTTTTGTAGTGTAAATACTGCATGAAGAAATAGCACAACACTTGCCCTGAAAGCTTATTCAACGTTATGCATTACCGTTTATATGCCTTGTTTGCGAGAATAGCCCGTTAGGTTATAGCTGACACGTATTTTTGTAATTGTATTCTGCAAGAAAGTTCTTACCATTTTGAATACGTAATGTTGTTTTTTTTAATCATCTGATTATTTTTTCGGTCACTGTAACGAAAGCGCAAGCATCCAGGGATTCCCCTTCCTTTCCCCTGAGGTGCTTTCCAGTGCGTATGGCGAAATAAAGAGTATGTCATTGAAGTAGGAAATTCCCATCTTTGAGTCACGTAATTTCTTTTTACTACCACTATTACACGTGGAAGTATCAGAAACAAAACAAGAGACACGTCCCATATAACAGGTTGTTCTTTGATGTGCGCTTGATTTTATGTCGTGTACATGCGAAGCTAATGTTTTTATTTGTGCTTTGGGGTTCATTACTATTGTCAGAATGTTTAAATAAAAATAAAGATTCAAACATATTGTATATCCTAGAGATTAATAATGGGTGAAATGGAGAGAGATTAACAATCACTGTCCAGGTCTTCGATTAATGATAAGAAGATGAAACCAAAACCGGTGAATCACAGAAGTGTTCATAGTCTAATGCATTTCTTTTCTTCTTTTTTTTTTATTAAGTTGCTGCTGTGGGGTCGGCCATAAGCAGCTCAGAGGTGATGCAGAAAAACATTCCTTACTCCTGCTGCCAAAGTAAAGCACTGGAGTTTGACCAAAACTGTGAGAACACCTGGAGTGTTAATGGCAAGGTATAAATATTCCTGCAAGTTCACACAAAAATCTGTGTTACAAGAATCTAATAAAGTGTCAACTCCTGGTCCTGTTCTTTCACACATCAGCTGAAGTCGGCTAGTAATTAAAAAGGCATGGTTAGAGATACTTCAATTGTTGAAAGCAGTTTTTCAACTATGACAAGAATGTACAGTCAACAGGCTTATTTCAGAGGATCAATGAGTCCAATATAAAAGAAATAAGAACTCTTTTGAACATTAAGCCATGTAAAGCCACTTTAGAGCCCAAGAATACAATTCTAAAGCGAGCAACTGGTATAAAACCCCCAAAACAACCTACTAACTCTGCTTTTGGGTTTGTTCCTTTCTGCAGACCTTTGCCCACTCCAAACGTGTGAAAAAAAGCTGTGTACATCCATGCCAGAAAATTGAAGGTGGAACAATTGTCATGGATGAATGCGTGGATCTAAATGTTACCACAGTTTGTCATACGGTACGTTATCCACTCATATTTGTTTTAACTTAGGCCCTTTCTAGAGGGAAAAACATTATGTAAAGTCATGTATGATGCAGTTAAAACCCCTAAAAAGGGGTTTGTTTGAAAGCATGGTTTCTTGGAGTCATTTCTAACTAAGTACAGACTCCATAAGTCAATTCAGACAACTGTACATAATTACAAGTTATTGGGATGTATCATGACTTTGCCAAGGTCTGGAAGAATACCCAAACAGTCATGCTCAAATAGGAGGAAATTGATTAAGATGTTCAAGGTTCTTTCTTGGTGCCAACCAAGAGAAGTGCGTGCTCCAAAATTAGCACCTTCAGGCTCAACTAAAACTTGTATCTGTCTACATGGACAACCAAAATGACTTCTGCCTTCACTTTGTGGGTGTACAAGAACCACTGGCAGCAAAGCAGTCCCATGAAAGCATGATGCTACCACCATCATGCTTTACAGTTGTTACAGAGCTCTTAGGTTTGGAAGCCTCACCTTTACCTCTACAAGCATACCTTTTGTCACTGTGGCCATCATCTGACCATAAATCTTTAAGGAAATGAACTGAGGAGGGAGCCTAATAGTACATCTTTCACCATTTTGCATTATTGTGATTGCAGCCATTCCTTAGCTCTCTATGACTGGTGCTTATGGCCACTGAGAAGTAGTCATGGCAGTTTACATATTAACAATCATGAAACTCTGGTTTGGCCATTATGCAAATGTACTGTTAGGGAAAACTGCAGTTAGATGAGACTTAGATGAGAAACATCTCTCAGGTCTCTTCTGAAAACACTATGTCCAGATAAACAGATTGCTGATGGCTACCAACAGCATCTGCTTGAGGTGCCATTTGAGAGATGTTTAGAGATGTTTAAACAAATTTTAGTGGGGCTGTATGTATAACTTTGACCCTGTAATGATTAGAGGAAAGCAACGCTGAGAGGAGATACATATCCAGTGCTGGTCCCTTGCACAGGTACATGGGAGCATAGGAGGTGAATCTGGTGTCAAATCTGTGCCAGATATAAATATGTAGATCTCTGTGCTGTGGTGACCCAAAGGCATGGCAGTCAAAAGTATCCATTTAAAGTCATGTCAACACAATAAAGAAAGAACTCTTCAGGTTTATTTTCACTTTATCTGTTACAGCGCTCTGGTATTGTTAAAGAGGAGTGCATCCACTACCAGAGCCAGCCCTGCTCCCAGACTGTTCCTAAGGAATTTAATGGGTCGTGTAGGCATCAGAGTAAGTCTTGTTTTATACAATGACAGACAGATTTTTGACTGTGTTTTTAAACTCCATTTTTGAGATACATAAACATAGACCTAGATTCCACTCTCCAAACAATGTTTAAGCTTATTTTTATTTCTCTCTTCAAGAAGATGATACAATTTTGAATTGGTGTAGTCAAAGTAGGCCATGATTTTTTTCAGTGAACAAAAAAAGGATTAAAAAAAAACACTCCCGTGCATGACATGAATCACAGTCTCACAGTCTTCTGAGTGACAGTAAAATTATTTGTTTTCTGCAATGTTTTGATGTTATTGATGTTAAAACACAAGCAATATCAAAACATCAGCAGCTGTTCAATACAGGACTAAAGTAGATGGTCTAGTAGAATGAGGCAGTCTTAAAATACTCTTTAAACTCTCCATCATGTGTCTAACATGACACATATTTACATAGGAGTGCAATGCTACTAACCAGACACGAATGTCCCAGGTAACAATCTTGTTATAAGGGTGGAAATGTTCCCGTTTGCTTGCAAACAGTGCTCAGCTTATTAGCACACAGTACAAGTCATTTAATCAAATCAATGGAGAATCCAAAACTTTGTGTTATGGCATCTATTCAGTAAGCTGAAAAATATTTAATTCCACAATAGAGACAAAGGATGCACACATTAAAACTAGTGAATGCTATATTAGCACCTATCTGAATAGTGGTTTATTATAAGCATGAAAATCTAACCTGCTAACCAATTGCCAATTGCAGGCACCGTTGGATTGGCACTACTGACAGCCGGATGGATTGTGAAGCAGATGATCTCCTGAGTCGTCTGCTTTTGCCAGAAAGAAAAGATGCTTTTAATATCAGGGGTGGAAGGTATTTCTGCTAAGGGAACAGCTATGCTTTTGCTTCCTGTCAGCTTGAATCAGTTTGCACTGTCTCGCCATGCAGTGCCGTGCAGACAGTGTTTACCATGAAGGCAATTTTATACTTTTATACTTTATACAGCTATAAGCTCAAAAATATTATATTTACACTTCTTCTTACAGCACTGAAACACTTTATCATTCTTCAGGCACATCGGTTTCCATCCTTTACTGTTAAATGACAAAATGCAAGTGATTTAGTGAGCATTGGAATATATCCTACAACCTAAAAACCTCACTTTTTTTTTTTTTTTTGAGTCGTGTTTCTCTCAGGGGTGTATTTACCAAGAAAGACCCTTTTAAAAATTTCATGGATTTCTTCCACAAGCCAAAATAATAATGATCACCAGTCAATTTTTTCGCTTTTGTCTCCTTGCCCCTTTTGGTAAGATTTTTAAGTTTAGTGTTAAATGATGACAAAATATTTAAAAAGTGTAACATTTTCCTTATTAATGAGACAATTTGCTGCTACCATTTATTTATTGACACTGAATGTGTATGGACATGACCTGCTGCTATTTAAATGACAAATTTATTGATGAAGATAAACATTCAATTTATTTGAAACACACTAAACTACAGTACAGAGGTGTACTTAGCTGCTACACTTGGTAAATACAACTCCCAGAGTTCACTGAACAAAGCTGCTCACAGAAACCTTTCAGAAATTGTGACTAGTGTATTATGAAGGGAAGAAGGTTTCTGTTGTGTCATAGGACTGGAAGAGGTTTAAAAAATGTGTACATGCCAATTTGATGTTTACAAACCAGTGATGGTAAAAATCCAGGTACTAATTTTAACAAACTGAAAGTATAAACAGGTCCCACTTGTCACTTTACTGTTATAATCTCAGGAAACAAAAATACAGTGAAGTGCTGACAAATTTATTATTTATTTATTTAAAAAAATACCCTGAATGCACTTGAAAGAAGGTCAGAGATTGTCGAAGCAGAAAAGAGCATCTTGTGTTTGTTTGGTTTACTTGAATTGC